TGGCAATGAAATTCTGCATCCAGGTAATGCTATGAATTAACAGCTGTACTATATGAGGTTTTTTTTGGGGGGGGGGTTATCCTAATGTTTACTGTCTCTAGAATTCTTGAGCCAGTCCGCATGGAAAGAGCAGTGGACATTACAGTGTTGTGGTTATCCCTAAATCATTGAACGCCATTGTGGGAAAACATGGCATAAGGTGTCAGTAAAAAGGGAGAAAATCTAAATGGTAAAAATAAAATCACAGAGCATTTATAACTTCCACTCTTTTGCCTAAAGCAAGGCTGGGTAACCTGTGGCCCTCTAAATGTTCTAGGACTACAGATCCTATTATTCCTGACCATCAACCATGCGGGCTGGTGCAGATGGAAGCTGGAGTTCAACAACATCTGGAAGGACAAAGGTTATTCATTCCTCATCTAAAGCAACATTCAAAGTTTGCCTTATGCTGAGATGCACATCTTTTGATCATCTGAGCCACTGACCTACAACTGGTGGCTCATGATCCACAAGTGGGCGATAGCAGATCACCCCAAAAAATACATACAAAACTTCATGTATTTAAGGAGATAGGTTCACAAAATGCACATACAACATAGGAAAATTCATTCAGTCAGGGGGAAATTCTTGCAAAAAAAAAGTATATTAGTCAAAACTACATACAAAGATGTGCTTATTAGGAGAAATTTGCACAAAATGCTAATGAATTTTCATGACACCCTCCACATTTTCACAGCAATTTGAGAACTGAATTTCAGATTGAAAAAATGGGAAACTTAGTGGCAGATTTGACCACCCCTACTGTAGAATAATTTTAATAATTTTTAAAAATAGATCTAAAGTTCCTACAGAATACTATCCTACTACAGAGTAACACCACAAACGATGGATTCCTTTCTGCATATTTAGGTCAAACTTGTGCCATGAAGAACCCAAAACCACTATATAACAACTTCAGCTTAAAGACTGCCTGCTTGACAGTTTATCACCCCCAGTGCAGCAGTCTTCATCATTATCCACTTTTAAGCTCTGCAACAGCTATAACTATGTGGTTGCTTTATAGCTACAGATTTTCTAAACTCTGTATGTGATTGTGCAATTTTAAGCTTAAAGTAATGGAGACTTCAGGGCCATTGCAGTGCTTTCAAGCTACTTGAGGACACTGGTGTACTTCTAAACTCAATGGGGTCTAAGTCTTTGGACCCCTTTGAACTGGCTATTTTCCCACTCCGAGTAAGGTCTTTATGTCCTCATTCAATGTTTGCACTACCTGCAATCCAGATCCATGTCCTAGTTCACATGTCAGATGGGAAACAGGTTGACGAAAGAGACACAAATGCCATTAAGGAGCCAGGGTATTCCACCCCACTTTTTGGCTTGCTGTAAAAGACAGCCTGCATTTCTGGCTTGCTCTGCATTAAGTATAGAAACCAGCAGTGGAAGAAACCTTTCTTCGTTTTTTAAAAAAAGATATATCCCTAAATGTTCTGAGGCATAGATCACTGAGGGCTACAATTGATTAATGGTCTGTGAACTGCCTAGAGAATTCAGTTATATGAAGAGGAACATAATATAAATGTAATGTGATAAATAAATGAATGAATGAAAAGAATAGTAGGGCTACCATCCATCAAACTAAGAAGTGGCAGTTGCCCTGCCTGATTTTCACTGTAAGGATTCAAAGCATCTTGGCTGTGAGTCCTGAAAGACCTGCCCCCTGCCTTGCAGGCCTTTTTCCACCTGGCCTGGGAGGACAGGGCCCGGTCTGACTCCAACTACAAAAGCTGTGGCTGCTGAACTTGGATTGAGATATAGTTTTTGGGGGGGGGTTGTTGGTGGGATTTCTCTCTCTTTATCTTAGATCTTATTGTGATTTATGTGGAAATTATTTAATTTGGTTGTGTACTTTTTGATCTTTTATTTATTATTTGTGACTACTTTTGTTATGTTTGTAATGATGTAATTTTGCCATGTTGAAAGCCACCTTGAGCATGGTTTTAATTATGGAAAGGCAGCATACAAATAAAATGATGTATGTATATAAGCAATATTTTCCATTATTGGGGCCCTGAGGCTTTTAGGGATACAGTGAAACTTCGGTTCCCGAACTAAATCTGTTCTGGAAGCCATTCGGCTTCCAAAACATTCAAAAACATTCCCATTGGTTGCAAGAGCTTCTTGCACTCAGCGGAAGCCGCGTTGCACATTAGGGTTCCAAAAAAGGGTCGAAAATGGAAGCATTTTGGCATTCAGGAACCGAAACGTACGAGAATGAAGATGTTCGGGAACCAAGGTTCCACTGTATCTGGAAGAACAGGGGAGACTTGAAACATGTCCCTTCATATTGAGAGAACTGAGCTGGTTACATAAAATTGTTTCAGGGTATTATGTAGCCTATCTTTTTTTTTGTCATTGGGGCCCTTAATGTTGCAAGGCCATGCAGAAGATTGAGAGGATTTGAAACCCTTTCCATACAGTCAGGAGTAATGGGACAATCACACAGAAGGGTCATAACCCATGGTAAACCATGTTTAATGGTAGCACCCCAAAATAGCACTTTTGTGGGAATCAAAAACAATCCTAGGGAGAGCAGGACTTACAGTGATACGGGTGTGAACCTGCCACTTTTTAGTTTGATGTAGATCAATCCTATTATTCTTCTATAATGAATTGCAAGATGGTGACAGGTTATGGAACTACAGGTACTTAATTGGATCCTGCTGATTAGGTTCACAGAAACTAAACTAGCTTCTAGTTAAACATCCTCATTAAAGCAGCATGGTCATTAGCAATATAAAGATTATCTGTAGTGCCCAACTAAGCACTGCGTGTGAGAAACTATTAAAAGTCCCAGGTGCTCCTACTTCTTCGTTCAGCAAAGGTCCTCTAGCTTGCCCATACATTTTATGTTAAATAGCATTGGAAATATTATAGTGCCCTATAGTACTCCATAGCATAACAGCCTGAGGGGTGAGAAGCATTCATCCAATACTACCTTCTGAGAGCTTCCGTAGACCATCTCCCCTAGTCAGTCTAGGAGGATACCATGGCTGATGATATCAAAAGTTAATAAGAGATCTACTAAGGGCAACAGAGTCCCCTGTCCCTCTCCCAGCTGAGGTCATCCACCACCAGGGCAATCAAGGCAGATTCAGTCTCAAACCCAGATGTGAGCCCAAATTAGAATGGATTGCCCAAAAATGTATGCCAGATAAGATGGCACCATATGGGGGAAGCATACAAAGGGAGTTCAGGTTGAAATGGGTATTCAAATGTTAATTCTCCTGTGATTTGTTTATAAATACTTTGACTATAAGAGCAAGCAGTCTTGCAGTGCGAAGGAATATGTGAGAAACATTTTACCGGCCCATCCAACACTATATCTAGCCAGGTATTCTGTCCCCCCAGTAATGGCCAAAGCAGCTGCTATAGGAGATGCCTACAAAACAGAAAGGGCGCCAAGAGACCAAGTGTATAAAAGGATTCTAGAACTCAGATCATGAAAAAATAAACTGTGTGTGTGTGTGTGTGTGTGTGTGTGTGTGTGTGTGTGTGTGTGTAATTGCACTGCTCTCTCTTTCTGCAACCAACAGCAGCAGGAACCAGAAATTGGTTTTATATTATAGCAAGGAACCTATTGGTGATGGGCAGGGCCTGAGGAGAAAGTGGGCAGAGCAATAGAAACAAAACTTACCTTTCTGGAATAGTCAACATTTCAGCCATAACAAAGTCAAGGGATTCTACACACCTATGTTATCGCTCAGCATGGACACCAAGGTTCTCCTCCAATGGTCTTTGGCTGGTTCCCTCATTGTGAGAAGCGAAGCTACAGGGAACCAGGCAGAGGGACTTCCTGTAGTGATGTCCTCCCTGTGGAAGACCCTCCCTGCAGTTGTCAAGGAGATAAAGAACTACACAACTTTTAGAAGACATCTGAAGGCATCCCTGTATCGGTAGGTTTTTAATGTTTGATGTTTTACTATGTGTTTATATATGCTGTAAACCACCCAGAGTGGCTGGGAAAACACAGCCAGATGGGTGGGGAAGAAGAAGAAGAAGAAGAAGAAGAAGAAGAAGAAGAAGAAGAAGAAGAAGAAGAAGAAGAAGGCATTTGAGGAAGGCCTGCAGAACAAATGGTGAAGGATGTGACTTGAGGAGAATGTGTGTGACCTGAGGTGAGGCATGATTTTGGGGTGTGTCTACATTCAGCCCCCAGACCTGAGGTTCCACCACCTATGATCTATATCAGACTTCCTCAACCTCGGCCCTCCAGATGTTTTGAGACTACAATTCGCATCATCCCTGACCACTGGTTCTGCTAGCTAGGGATCATGGGAGTTCTAGGCCAAAAAAACATCTGGAGGTCCGAGTTTGAGGAAGCCTGATCTATTTCCTGTAACACACAGTTAAGAAATATGGCGGTGGCAAGCACTGATATTTCTTAATATCTAAGGGAAGAAGAATAAAGATGGACTCACATTATATTTGCTATCTGTTCATTGTCATTTACATTTAAACATCAACTACATATAGCATTGAGACCAAATATACAGATTTCCACATGTATATATTTATACACACACATTGATCAACATAGTGCACAGTTTAAAGGTATGTTACACTCAAGTGCACAAGTTTAAATATGGCTTTATAAACTAGTAGTAATAACAGTACTAAAATAATGGATACCCCATGTAACTTCATAAATTAAAAATAACAAATAGAATTATTTTCGTCTTCTAACAATGTGTTACTTATTTCTGCAAAACAATGCACAGGGAACAGTTGGGCATTAGCTTGTTGTTCCACACCAGCTACATACATTTCATTCTTTCCCCAATATTTTTGGATACCCTGGTTAGAAAGACTTTTGGAGTTATCAGTGTTTAAAAAATTAAAATCTGCATATTGTTCTGAACAAAATATTGGAGTCATAATAAATTTGAGAGAGTGCACAGACAAGTAGACTGATCCGTATAAAAAAATATGCCACAAACCAATGAACCCTTCATCTTTTTAATGAGTGTAAAAACAATAGCAACTGAACAGCAACAGCAACCCAAATCCTGCTAATTACCAGAAAGTCTTGACTTACCAGTGAACATATACAGAACAGATAACATGGTACTACTCCATCAGGGATCCACTCATTTGTAATATACATATGCTGGACCAGATATAAGATGCAATTTGTGTAGCAAGATGTCTGGAGACAGAATGTGCATATGCAGTACCATGTTAATTTCCCACTCTCGTGTTTATTTCATGCCATTGGAATTGCATAGCCTGCAGTGAAGTTTCCCTTAACCATACATATTATGCAACATGAATGGCAACACCAGTTTCAAGGTCAGATGATACAATGATCATTTGCAAACTGAGAAAAGAAAGCTACATGGTAACAAACTCCAGTCATTCTGTTGCAACTAAGCTTCTTTGTGCCTTCATTTGTAGTGTTTTCCATGCCTGTTAAAAACTTGTATTCAGGCAAACCTACACAAACATATGATTTCATTATGTATATTTGTCCTCAAATGCAGTTGATCTTAATCTATATTATGATAATTTTATGATGGCTACTTGCTTTTAAGGTCTGTTGAACTTATTGGTATTTTCTTATATTTTATACTATCGAGGGGTATTAAGAGGTCTATAAATTGTTAAATAAATGTGCCGCCATTTGCTAAAATATATATTTAACTATGTCCAGGGGCCAGTGTACACACTCTCTCTTTAGGCCAGGGATGGCTAAGCTGTAGCACTCCAGATGTTGCTGGCTACAACTTCCATCAGTCCCAACCCACATAGCCAATGGTCAGGGAGAATGAGACTCATAGTCCAGAAATATCTGAAGGTGACCCATGCTTTAGATCAGAGTGAGGAAGCTCTGGCTCCTGAGCCAAATCTGGCTTGTCAAGACATTCCCATTTGGCCCACCAGTTTGTATCAGGCAAGTCACATCCATGTATAGCCAACAGCAACCACCTATAGACCACATCACATGTGGCCTTTTTCTCTTCTGAGCTTGAAGAACGGGGCTAATTTATTAATTTACATCCCCCTCCCTTGCCAAAACAACTTCTGCAGGTAGCACCATATAAGCTGAGCAGTAAGTAACACATGAAACACATTGCATTTCATATCTCCTGCTCAGTACACAATCACAGCACTCATCTTCTAGATGCCAAAATCAAAGAATAGCAAGAGAGGCATATTGTATCACTGACAAAATATCAGCAACAAAAAAACACAAAGGGAAACCCTCCGGCACAAACCTTCAAACCTGTCAAGCCAGAGGTCTGCACACATTTCCACCACCAAGGCAAAAACAAAACAAAACAAAAACCATTTAAAATCCTGCTTCCTTCCTATCCCAGTCATGTCAACTCTTTTCATCAAAGCCTGGCGCCATAAATATTCTGTCTTCTTCTTCTGAAGGTTATGATTGGGGGGCATAGCAGACTAGCTGCTGCACACACACACCCCAACACACACACACACACAAAATAGCTCAGACATTTTTAGGGAAATAAAAGAAAGCATGGCACCTGTTATATACTATCCATTTCAATGTATCAAAACTGAAACATTGACTCATCAGTGAAAGATCTAGCCAGGCCAGCACAACTGGTACTCCACCCAGGCTGAACATGGAGCATGTATTGTGGCCTGCCAATTAGTTGACAACCCCATGCTATGTAGTCCCAGGTACTCCTTAAAGGTCCATGTTCACTTTGGTGAATAATATGTTATGCTTGTATGATCTACTGATTCATTCACCAGCAGAAGATAGGTATTCACCTGTAGTGGCCCATCAATGACAGCCACCTCTTAAATGCTGCACATCTTTCCCTTTTGTCTCTGTGGAGTACAAACAAATCTACAAACTGGTTGTCAACTAGAGATACAAGTAAGGTATACATTGAGACCTCCTGCTTGCATGCCTGGTCTTGCTTTTGTCTGGTACAGCATGTTCCCCCACAATCTGCTACATCTAAGGAAATGAGGACACATGAAATACATGCTGTTGCTCAATCACATTAGTTAACTTTGGGTAAACACCTTCTGCTGAAATTGGCAATATGCGCTTGCTTAGGTCCAAATGCATATCTGCTTCTTAAGATCGTTTCCTATTTGTGGCAGAGGGAAGGGTGAGGAATTGAATGTTAAGGTTGTCCTATACCCACTTGATACAGGTGTCAAGAGTGGAATGCTCAAATTGGCAGTCTTGGTGGCCCATGAAGAGAGAAGGGGGGCACTTGACAACCACAATGTTCATTCTGTGCTAACAAAAAAAGCAGCAAAAATTAAGAAAGGAAGAAGTCATCGGGTGCAATGTAACTTGTACAATTTGACAAACCTAACTGTCAAATTTCCTGATGCATTTGAATACTCACATTTTTCAAAGAAAACTGTGCATCTATACAGCAAGCTAGTTGATATTTTGCCAAGTAGTCTCTCCAGGTTTGGCTTACCAGATTATTGGACTGCACCCATTACTGTCTCTCAGAGAAACAGCTTTTTAAAAAACTGGCTATTTGTATAAGTGTGGAATACATTTTCCCTTGGAAAGAACAGGGATATCTGAAACCTTATCTTGCATGTATCCCATTTCTGTGTGGTACTGCCTCATCTAACCAAAAAGTAATTTCAAATTGTTTTTTTAAAAACAAACAAACAAAAAAACAATCAATCTCCTAGCACCACAACTTACAATATGATCTGGCTCTTTAATTTCAATACTTTTTATAGGGTCACAGTCATTGCCAGACATCTTTTGCAAAGGGAGTAACTATATTTCTTCAATAGAAGCAAGATCTTCAACTATATATCTTAGAAATCAATATACTTATGGTATCCAAAAGGTTTGCGTGTCCATGCATAGTTGCCTTATCCAGTTTGAACTCAAGCAACTCAATTGGCCTCACCAAGGGGAGAACACAGGCTACTTAGCTTCTTCCAAATAACCTGAGTTGTTCCTAAGAAAGAAAAGGCATACAATGTGATAAATACATTCACACATTTCTGGGGGGGGGGGGACAGAAAACCCTGCAGCTAAAAAATATCATGGGTTCCAGACATAACACCATGTCCTTTGTAGCTTCCTTGCAAGGTTTCCAAAGGCTGCTTCTTTGGATAGACAGAAAGAAGGAAAAGAAACTGTTTAAAAGGTTCAAGTAATTTTTTCACAGGCAAACAAACGAAGCCATCTTAGAGTTGTACCCAACAGTATTGCTCAGGTGATGGGAAGGCTTGCAGAATGGAGAGAGAAGCAATTCAACCTCCTTTTTATAACACCCCTTGTGCAGTCATCCAAAATTGTGCTAGAAGCTCCACCAACACTATGAAGAAGATATATTACTATCATTATCATCATCGATATTCCAATTAATTTGTTAATCAGCTTCTAAACCAGCATCTCAAGGCGATTTACACAAGAGATCCTTAAAACCAGTTAAAAACACAAAGACAACAGGTACATTAAACAAGACTAAAACCCAAACAATGGACACTTGTGGTAAAGACCCATTTATCCAGCTTTGAAACCCTGTTGGGACAAAAAATGTCCTTAACTATTTCCCAGAAAGTGCAGGTAGTAACTTGACAGGAATGCTATCCCACAGAACAGGGACAGGCACACAAAAAGCCTTGCTTTGAGATAGTGCAGAGCAGGCTTCTGCGATCTTGGGAGCTTGCTGAAGAAACTCTCCAGCAGACCACAATGATCTACTGGAAGTGTCTGCTCATGAGGCCAACTGAAGCAGCTGCTTTGGGTGGTGGAATCCATTCCTAGCGCTGTCCCCATGGGCGCCCTTGCCCACTTCTGCCACCAGGGTTGCACAGTGGTGGTTTCTGGTGAGATCTCACAAAAGTTCTGCAAGATCTAGTTGGAAGCCACCCTGGCAGGTGTGTGATCCCAGTAAGCAGAAGAAGGGGAGGGGAGGCCCCTGTCTATTGGGTGTATAAGAGATAAAGCAGTCTCCCAACTAACCTGGACCTGAGCCGTATAGGGACTTATACGTTAGCACCAACACCTCAAATACATTTACACAATATTAGGAGGGGGTGCAGTGAGAGGCAGAATGACCCAAAATTGCTTCCCTCTCCATTCCACTGATGGGAGTCTGACCATCAACTGAGAAACACAACTGGACACAACCCAAACACAGGTCCAATTATTTTCAAACACATTTGCACCAGTGCAGTGATTTCTCATTCAAGCCATTAAAGAGAAGAATGTACAATCTTTGTATGACCCTATATTCAAAAGAGGAGACAATCATATTGAATATGCTTTCTAAGGGCATGCCCAAAGTGCTATGATTTTGGAGACCAGAAAGTATGTGGTTGTTTGAGATGTTTTTGTTGCAGGGGTGGAAACCACTGTTATCTCTGTGAAGCACTTCTGTGATTCCCTGTGGTCTGCTGTGGAAAGCGCAACAGTGGGGTGGGGACCTGAAAGCACTCCCCAATTAAGATTACTTACAGAGCTTGGTTTTATGGATGTTGGTGCATTTTATTGTTGTTGCAAGTTCTTGCTTTGCTTTTTAATTGTTAACATATCTAGCCATCTATGTTTATCCAAGTATAGGTTTCAATAATTTTACATTATCTATATGTCATAGTGTTAAGTTGTTTGAGTGTGTTTTGACACAGAAAAGCAACCAATATATTAATAAATATGAACAAACAGAGCAAATGGAGCTTAGGAGCAGAGTGATCACATGCACCGTCTAGAAAATCCTGCCCCATTCACATTCAGACACTTCCAAGCCACTAAAAACTTGGCAGAGACAACTCCAGCCCCAGCTGTTCCAGAAGGGGCTCAAAGCACCTTTCAATACCATCAACCATCATGGTATTCTTCTGCTTATCTGGGGATTTATTAAGTGGTTTTCAGCACCAGCCACCATGGTACACTTGGGGAGTGATTTGTACTGATGAGGATTTTAAGTTGGACTGTTTTTATATGGATTGGAAGCCACACTGGGAGCAGTTAAAACGAAGAAGAAGAAGAGCAGGATATGGGAATAAATAAATACAAATAAAGACATTCAACCCTGTGTTTAGTTGGGTGTCTGGTCCTTTGGAAAGCCACAGAAGTTCAGAGGAAGCCGAGAGGTCAACAAGATTTCCCTAGCTCACAAGACTTAAGGCCTCAGTTGGCATCCATCACCAAATATCATCGTTACAGACAAGGCACAATGAATTTTTGCTGCTGCTACCAACTTCTCTGTCTTTTCAGGCATATTTGGAACCAGCAAAAGTAAAGCAGAGGCCTTGTTAACCTCCCATCAAACATTCCATAGTGTTTTTGTTTCTCTTTGTAGAAAGGCATCAGCTAAGTGTTGGGACCTTAAAGAGGATAGCCTATGAACATTTTTTTTATGGAAAATGAGAGTAGCTACTGTTCTCATAAACTACATTTCAAAGAAGGAATAGGCCACATAGCAACTAAGAAAATTCCAGGAACCAGAAAATTAGAAGATCTATGATAAGTACATATTCGTTAGACCAGGCACGCTGATTCAGTGTATCCCAGTTTATCTCTGGAGGTTTCATATCTTGCTTCCTGTTGCAAGGACACTTGTATCCTGGCTGAGCAGCTCACTATGAAGATGGATATAATTACATCTGGATATGCATTTGGGGCTGAATCATATAGCTCAAGTTATCTGGCTCAATGGGAACCCCAAAGCACCCTGAAAACGATAAAAATTAGTCTGCATATTCCAATATACCTTCCCTACAGTAGCCCAGTCTGTGTAAGGTTGCATTCTCTTTGGGTGGGGAGAAAAGAGAGAAACCATTTTCTTTCCATCTCCATTAGTTTGCTTATACACTGACAATTGTTTAACATCAAGACCCAAACACTGATGGAGCCACAAGAAGTGGGAGATGGTTAATAATGGGCAAAAGAGTAGCTTCGAATACATCTTGCTGACAGACAGACTGCTCCAAGTGCAGGACTCAGCTGGAGTCAGAGCTCTGGAAATTCATTTAGGGTTGAACAGGGGAGTATAAATACTTATATATATAATCCCAGAAGCTGGTGCCCCAAGTGCCTTTCCTTTCAGAATCCTGTCCTGTAATAAAATCAGTTGCCTTTGCAAACATCTGCAGCACACCACCATGTTCTGGATGTTAGATGTTTGTGGCATGCTCCACCTAAGAGCTGCTAAAAGCTCCTTGGGAAGATTATTAAGTACTAGCAGAAAGCCTATTGTTGTGTGTGTAAGGAAGACGTGTATACCTGGAGGACATCAGTGAAAGCTGCAACACACTGTAGGATCCTAGCTAGTGAGAAATAGACCTCTCATTCAGAGATGGAGAGGAGAGAAAACCAAGTATTCATTTATGTAGTAGAGAAAGGGTGGTTGTGTTTTTTTAAGTGTAAAGGAAGATATTTGGGTGAAGGCTAAACCTCTTCTTTTGACCTCCAACAATTCAAGTCCTCAAAAATCAGTTCTGCTTCTCTGTGCATAGCTCACCTCTCCATCTGCATAACCTGAACTTGGCTTCTGCTTCTCAGTCACACAAAAGTGTGGTGAAATGTTGGCAGTGGGCTTTATCCATAAGGCTGAAGAGAAAAATTGGTGCACTGACCCCTTTAAAAAAAAAAGTTACAATATAAATAAATAAATTGCCAAGCTGATGTGTCAGATGGGAAACAATTGGTGGGATTTTGAATGCAAAAACAACTACCCCTCATTCTTTTTGTCTCTGTTGGCTGTTTCTCTGTGAAACTGGGGACCAGATGAACCTTCCCGATATGGGTGCACAGAGGAAATGCAGTCACTTGGCACACCCAAACTTATGGAAGACACAGGGGCACAGGGTGGAGATAATGTTATAATCCCTCAGTGTGTTTACTTCAGTCAACCATTTCCACAATCTATGTAGAGACGAGAAATGAAGTCCTAATGACCCCTCTTTCCTCCCTCCACCAAGCCTGTCTCTGGGAAGAAATCAGCTCAAACATCAGCCTTTCTCAATACTTCCTTTTGGCCTATGGATGGTTTCTGCATATCATTCTGGAATGTTCTTCTTTAAAAAGGGGGGGGGTCTCGTCCCCACACATTACCTTCCTTGTCAACTATACCACCTTGTTAAACAGAATTAAAAATGGTTTCTCTAGAATCCAGTGGAATGTTCTAAAAAAAATAAAAATGCTGAAAAGATCCACATGAATGGCATAAAGCAACATTGTCTCACATCCCAACCAATTTGGGTCTCTTTAGAACCTGGGCCAATTGGCAGGATTCCCAGGAGGTGGTGGCATTTCTGATAAAAGACGGAGAAGCGCTTTGTAGACACATCACTTGCATTGTTCATGATCTGTGTAGTCATCCATGTCCACATCAGAATCGAAGAGGGAATGTCCCGTGTAATCGGTGTCAGGTGTTCGCGAAAAACTATTCTCGGTTCCCTCATCGTCAAATGTTTCTGTCCTTGAGTAAAAACTGAAGTCCTGCAACGGGTGAGTCTTACTTGCTTCACTGCTTTCTTCTGACTCATACAGAGTGTTGTCATCATCATGGTGCCATTCTGGCCAAAATTTCCTCCTTATTCTCTCACAGTACATAGCAAGGTTAATCAGTTCTCCTAAGAAAACACAGGGAGGGAAGGAAATAGCATTATATGATTACCCAACTACAAGGCCTCTAAACGTAGTAATATTATTACTTTTCATTGAGAAAATACAATTCATTTTATTTTTATAATGTATAACTCACTTTTCACTACCTCCTGAAATAAAACTAGGTTTAACTAGGTGTCTGAAATTCAGCAGGGATGGGGCTTATGGGAGGGAGTTCCACAGAATTGAACCTGCAACACTAGAAGGGAAGACTTCTAGTCATGCGTCTAGTCCATAGGGAACCACTATTAGTGGTCCTCCAGTTAATATCAGTGAGCAAAATGGGATGTACAGCCTTAAGGCAGTCCCAAAGGTATTCCAGGCCTAAGTTATTCATGTGCACTAGTACAAGAACTTCAAATCTGGCCAGGTAGCAGATGGGAAGCCAGTGCAGATTTTTTAATACTTGTGTCTAGCCCTGGCATTCTGAATGCCCTGGCATTCTCCAGACCACACCCATGGGCAGACCCACATAGAGAATGTTGCAGCAATCTAGTCTTGAGGTTACCAATGCGTGTACAAGAGTGGTCAGGTTGTTGTTGTTATATATTTATTTATACCTCATGTTGTTGTTTTCCTGACAGGACTCAAGGCAGCTTACAGTTAAAAATAAGGACCACTAAAAATAGAAAAATATGTATTTTTAAATATCGTTTAATTTAAAAAGGGACCCTTGTGGTCCTTTCCATCTCTATGATTCTATAACTGATTTCTTTTGGGATAAGGGTATTTTTCATATACAACCAATATGCTTCACAATCTTGTGGCTACATCTCAAAGTACCATTTGTTCATACTTTAAAATACATTTTATTGTATTTTACTTACTTTATTGTATTTTACATACTTTAAAATACATTTTATTGACTTGTTCGCTGTTATATATAACAGCAGCTATTATCTAGAAGAGAAAAATGATATATGTCCCGAGGACAACATGGGACAAAATGAAGCCTAACAAACTGCAATGGATGAATGCTTTCCCCTATAGCCTGTTTTTAGAACTCTAATAGACATAGGTAATGTGCAACCTTGTACCACCAGGTGGCAGGGTTGTCTGAGAGAAACTAGCCTTTCTTCATCAGAATTCTACAGGAAAATATTCTGTAGAACAATATTACTTTCACATACATAAACATAATGTATCTTCTGGTGGTTCCCTCACTGCGAGAAGCGAAGTTACAAGGGAACCAGACAGAGGGCCTTCTCGGTTGTGGCGCCCGCCCTGTGGAACGCCCTCCCATCAGATGTCAAAGAAATAAACAACTACAGTGGTACCTCAGGTTAAGAACTTAATTCATTCTGGAGGTCCGTTCTTAACCTGAAACTGTTCTTAACCTGAGGTACCACTTTAGCTAATGGGGCCTCCTGCTGCTGCCACGCCACCGCCACGCGATTTCTGTTCTCATCCTGAAGCAAAGTTCTTAACCCAAGGTACTATTTCTGGGTTAGCGGAGTCTGTAACCTGAAGAGTCTGTAACCTGAAGCGTCTGTAACCCGAGGTACTACTGTATTTGACTTTTAGAAGACACCAGAAGACAGCCCTGTTTAGGAAAGTTTTTAATAACTGATATTTTAATGTATTTTTAATCTTTTGTTGGAAGCTGCCCAGAGTGGCTAGGGAAACCCAGCCAGATGGGTGGGGTATAAATAATTTTTTTAAAAAAATTATTTATCATTATCATTATTTTATTGCTTTGGGACAGTTCAGCTACAGATGCTCTTCGACAAAACTGATTATCTTGGCCCATTCTAGTCTGGGTTCAGATCCAGTTGGGTACCAAAAGCAGCTTTGGTCACCCTGAGAAATGAGAATTTGAGAGGGGCAGTGAGACCCTGTTGATTCTCCTTGAACTTTCAGCCATTGATCACCATAACATCCTGGAACACTTCAGAGAGTTGGGGGTACCATTTTATAGTGGCTTCTTTTCTACTTCTGGGGTCAGTTCCAGATAGTAGCATTAGGTAATATTGGGAGACTATACCTCAGCCCTCCGGCAGCTAATCTGCGGGGTACGAAAGGGTACACAATGCTATTTAATATCTATATGAAGCCACAGGGGGCAGTCATGGGGAGATCTAGAGCAAGGTGTCACCAGCACACTGAGGATGCCCAGGTCTATTTCACTATAGCATCTGAATCAGGAGAGGTTGCGCATGGCTAAACTTGTGCCTGCCTAGATGCAGTCATGGACTGGATGTTAGCTAATGAACTGCTACATGAATCAGGATGCTAGTATCGAACAACAGAGACACAGCTGGCCTCAATCAGAAGTCAGTCATTTAATATCGCCAGTCTGATGCTCTTCCACCAAAGATTTGGCAGGCATCCTTGCTTTTTACTTTCAGACATCACTTGAAGACCATTTTATGCCTACAGGCCTATGCAGTTGTTTACTCAAGGAAATTTTAGCCTGACATTTACGGATTGTTCTCTATTGTCTTTATAGTTTGTTTGCTTTTTATGTTGCCATTCATCATCCAGAAGTTTTGTGAGAGGGTGATATATGTTAGTTTGACATTTAAAACTCTGATCTTAGACCATAGGTTTTGCCTGAAGTTAGAATTCCCATGCACACTTAGCCCCTTGAGCAAAGAACTATGCCTCCTGGCTCCACCTTCCTGACAGTGTTCACCATCCCAACTCTACCTTCTGACTTCCCTGTCTTGGTCAAAAATCTGAAGGGTGTGCTAACTGCACTCACTTAGCTCGGATAGCTCAGTTGGTTAGAGCATGTTGCTAATGGCAAGGTTGAAAGTTTGATCCTCATACGGGGCAGTTGCAAATTCCTGCATTGCATGAATAGGCCTTGGATCAGATTGCAAACAGGTCCTTTCCATTCACCATCAAATAATACCTTCAAATCTATAACACAATTAGAGTAACCCCTACCTTTAATTAGTCTCTCCGGCCTAGTTCCTGGCAGCGTCCACATTGCCTGTGCTAGATGTCCAAAGACTGTAGCATCTAAAGTGGAAAGTTTGGGCCCCATGATGTACTTCTTATCACCTACAAAACAAAGCCAAAAGCATTTCTTTCTTTTTTTAAGCCTGTGGGTATTTATTTATTTCTCCCATCCCAACTCACATACTCAGTTGCCTGGTGACATCCTGCTATTATCTTCAAAGCATTAAGCTCAGCAGTCGAGCTTTTAAATCACAAATCACCGGGCACAAATTTCAATGACTGTAGAATGGCATTAAGGGACGCGGGTGGCGCTGTGGGTAAAAGCCTCAGCGCCTAGGGCTTGCCGATCGAAAGGTTGGCGGTTCGAATCCCCGCGGCGGGGTGCGCTCCCGTTGCTCGGTCCCAGCGCCTGCCAACCTAGCAGTTCGAAAGCACCCCCAGGTGCAAGTAGATAAATAGGGACCGCTTACTGGCGGGAAGGTAAACGGCGTTTCCGTGTGCTGCGCTGGCTCGCCAGATGCAGCTTTGTCACGCTGGCCACATGACCCGGAAGTGTCTCCGGACAGCGCTGGCCCTCGGCCTCTTGAGTGAGATGGGCGCACAACCCTAGAGTCTGTCAAGACTGGCCCGTACGGGCAGGGGTACCTTTACCTTTAGAATGGCATTGCCATGTCACTGCAGGGGTATTTCAGCCAATTAATGCATCAAAAGGAAGAGTGTGTTAGAGTTCGTATATGAGCCTGCATTTGAGGACTACTGCAATTCGACCAAGGAGTTTTGTGCGTTAGCAGTGATAGACAAATTCCCCCAAAGAATAAGATAATCCCACAGTGCTCATTTAGCACAGGCGTGGGGAGCCTCAGCTACTACACAAGCAGCCTATTACACAAAGGCAAGAGTCTCACCCATTGCTCTCTCCACTTCTTGCCTCTGGCCCCAGAGGTCACCAGTGCTCACCAGTGCCCAGGGCAGATGCGGAGTGTGCTTCTTCAGCCCTCACCAGGCAGGCACCCCCCAGCCCCTACCACCAACAGGCAAGCGCTTGGGTGCCGGATGAGACACATGGAGGGTTATCTTCACCCTTCATGCTCTCCAGCCCCCACCACCGACAGGGCACAACAGGAATCTCTGTAAGTGCACCTGGTTTGTGCCCCCCTATAGTGCACCTGGGGCACCAGCCCCCCTGCCCCCCCACACTACACCACTGCCTGCCCTTGCATACCATAGACATCTGGCCTCCAAAAGGTTGCCCCCAGAGAATTGTGATGTTGGGGCCGACAAAGGTTCCATACCTCCTGAATCAGGGTCATCATTGCAGAGGCAAATGAGGATGCTCATTCGCAAGGGAACTCTAGGTGTGCATTATTGTGGAGTGGAAATGTGTGCAGTAATTTTAGGTGATCCATAGTGCCGGTATATTTAATTATTGTAGAGAATTTGAATGAATCATGGTGCATTCCCGAAAACATGTCTGAATCCTAGAATGCTGAGCCAAGTCTTCAATGACACCAGCTCTGCAGGTTTCCTTTCAACACAAAATTACTCTTACGCAGAATCAGAGTTGAATAGCCAAGACTGTGCATAATGAGAAATTAATCTCTAAAATCAACGCAACTAAATAAAATGTAAGTTGGCATATGAAAGCATCTCACGGTGGCTGAATTTCTGAAGCGTGTGCAATTTGGATTGTGGGGGAGATAATTTAACACATTCATGAAGCATATACCTAAACTATGCATAAGATGAAAGTGGTAAAATGTAATCTGCTGGAGTAGTCTATCAAAACAAGTGATAATGCATTTTCGATATAATGTAATGAAAGGCACTGTACATTACCCAGAAGACCCGCCAGAGAGCGCATGTCTTTCTCCATCAGCTTGTAGATCTCTTCCTCAGAGAAGCGGCCGATGCCGTGGCCGTACATTTCCCGCTTCACTATTCCTTTCGTTATATGGCAGAGAATCCACTTCAGCAGGTCACTAAAAGGACCAGTAAAGGAAAGCATCTTCTGAGTCTCATGGAGATTGTCCACCCACTGGCAATATGCTAAGGTCCTAGAAAGTGGTGAGGGGGGAAAAAAACATTTATAGCTGTGAGGAACACAAACACGCTTCTCTTGACCAACCCAAAACGGAAAATGATAAACACGTATAATAGGAAGAACAGGCTTCATTGAGGCAGTAGATTCCCCAAACTTATTTTGTGCTACACTGAAACAGAGAAAAGCTGCTTCGGGGTGAGGGGGAACACCATTTCACCACCCAGCTAGATCTACTATGAAGAGAACAGTATGATTATCAAACTATGAACAGTATGATTATCAAACTTCTTTCAAACTCTTATTTTTAAAAAAATTACTACTAATAATAATCTGCTACTTTTAAAAAGTAGCAGATTATTATTAGTAATAATCACACACACACACATGGGCTTCCACCTCAGTAATACTGTATTTAAAACATTTTTACACCTTCCTTTCCACAAAATGCCCATAATTATCTTGAAAGAATCAAGTTTTTCTGAAGCTCAGGTATGAGCAATTGGCTAGTGCCCCCACAGATTATTATCTCAGGTGCTTTTGCTTTTCCATACATGGCGTGGCTTACTCTTTTGAGGCCTCTGGAGCTATTTGCCAGACATCCATCTTATGCAATGTACCTTCTCTCTGCAGTGGCATATTGTGATTTGGAAAGACCGTTTTGTGGGTTGGTGTATGAGCGGCCCTACCTCCCAGGAGGAAGTTGAACCAGGTGGCATTTTGGTCCCATCTAACCCTTCAGCCTAGGCGATGATGATGCCAGTAATTACAAAGTAGTGACTGCAGACATTTTTGAAACAAAGGACTGCCTTGTGGATTAATAATAATGTTCTATAGCAATGCTTGTTTGAGTGTGAAAGCCACGTTTAATGGGACTGTTAATTACCTCTCTCAGCGACACTTGAATATTCCCCTTTCAAGAGGACTGCATGCAGCTGGAACCGGAGATGCACTTGTCAACACAGTATATTAACAGAGACTTCCAAAAGCTAAACATGCAAGGAAGCTACCAAGACAGGCTTTGCGCTTGCGTGTCCCTTACCCACCCACCTAGCCCCAGCCCTCGCCTCTCTCTCAGGACTATTCCGGGTAGCAGAGCAAATCACAACTTTAAAAGAGCAAGAGATCAACAATGCTCTCAAAGCTAGGCGCAGTAGTTTTTCAGCAAGGTTCAGAATGAAATATTTATAAACCCAGAAATACTTTCTAAGTGGTGTCAATTCAGGTCGTTTACCCTACAGAGCCTGTCTACCGGCTCTCTTCCTTTGCCTCCTCATGCTGGCTTTTGAACAAAGTTGAGCTTCACCATTACCCTAATGCAGCTTTTACCAACCAAATGCCCTCCAGATATTTTGAACCACAAGCCCCACCAGCGTAGGAGCACAGGAAGCTGCCTTAAACTGAACCAGAGCATTTAGCTCAGTACTGTCTTACAACGGCCATCAGCAGTTGCCCAGGATTCAAGCAGTTGTTTCTCCCAGCCCTAGCTGGAGACGTTGGGGACAAAACCTGGGAGCTTCTGCATGCAAAGACCACATTGACTGGGACTGATGGGAGTTGTCATCCAAAACATCTGGAAGGCACCAGATTGGTGAAGCTTTCCCTAAAATGACAGAGGGTGGCCTCAGGTGACCCGACTGTGGGGTGGAAAGGAAGCTTTCCAGTTAGATCACACAAACAAATCTGGTCCCCTACCCTGAAAATATGCCAAGTGTGCCAGCAAGGTGCTTTTAGCACACAGTTCTCACTTCAACCAGCTGGCTTTGGGAAGTTCCAAGTGCCTATAAGAAGAAGAGTTTGGATTTGATATCCCGCCTTTCACTCCCCTTCAGGAGTCTCAAAGCGGCTAACAATCTCCTTTCCCTTCCTCCCCCACAACAAACACTCTGTGAGGTGAGTGGGGCTGAGAGACTTCAAAGAAGTGTGACTGGCCCAAGGTCACCCAGCAGCTGCATGTGGAGGAGCGGAGACGCGAACCCGGTTCCCCAGATTACGTGACTACCGCTCTTAACGACTACACCACAACTGTCAGAACTGCCAGGGGCTCCCCAGTAACATTGACAGAAATCATTCAACACTATGCAGAAATTGATCAAGGAGAAGAAATTGCCAAGGAGATGAGGAATTACACAACTTTTAGAAGACATCTGAAGGCAACCCTGTATTGAGAGGTTTTTAATATTTGAAGTTTTGTTCTGTTTTTAGTATTCTGTTAGGAGCCATCCTATTATTATTATTATTATTATTATTATTATTTAATGCTTTATGTTTTTATTATGTTTTTAGATATGCTGCAAGCTGCCCAGAGTGACTGCGGAAACCCAGCCAGATGGGCTGTTGTTGTTGTTGTCATTATCCATATTCTTTTTTAAAAAAACAGATACACACAGAATGAGCAAAACAAATGCCATTTTAGGTCTTATATACGAAAGGTCTTGTATGAGTACCCATCTGCAACATGCGCAAGAGAGCCATGCCTGGGCATCTTCTTCGGAGCCCCAGATAGCAGCCCTGAACTCACTGCTAGTGCCTCTCAGCTCCCACACCAGGTGTCCTGTGACCAGGAGTGCTTCTAGACTGTCACTACTTGGGAGGGGGGTATTCAGTCACCTAGGGGCAAATTCAGCTTGCACAATGACAGTTGATTAGGAGGTTTTTGGTGCAACAACTAGCTTCCCCAAAAGATTAAACTTTTTTGAAATGAGGAACACAATATGAGGACGATGGGATAACACTTGCTTTGATGCGACATCATCTAACCTGCCTGCGAGCAAGAGAGATTGAATGCACATTCAATAGCCAATGTTGCCTAATCTCCCTGAATGCAAATCTGAAATGTTCAGCATACATTACTGTTTTTTTATGCCTTCTATAGATTAAGATGCATTGTTCAAGGATGACATGTTTATTATATTTATTTCTCTCCCCTCCCTGATTGTTTGGGTTCTTTTGTTTAGTATTTAGTTTGGATATACTTTTATAATATCACAAGCTATTCTGCAGTCAATGTCTATGTGTACATGCTGAAATATGAAAAACCTTCCAAAAAATGTGTTTGCTTGTTTTAAGTGTGGGATGACACAATATCATCTAACCTCCCCACAACCAAAACTGAATGCATGCTCATTCAATAGCCAACACAGTCTAATCTCCCTGCAAAGAAATCAGGGCGAATGTGTGTTGGGAAGCACTCTGGGTTGCTAGAGCTCAGCTGCAGAAGCTGAGTTGGGGAGGGTTGGAAAGGAGGAGGAGGAGGAGGAAAAAAGAGAGAGTCACGCCAGCACAGCAAAAGTCTTTTGTGGATCCAACCCTTAATTATTTATCAAGCTAAACTACTTGCTGAAATGGAACAAGAGAGAGACGACATCAATAGCAGTACTTTAAAGGAAATAACAAAGCAGTGGTTGAAGAGGAATGCAGTGGAAGGGAGGAACCCTCCCAGCTTCATCTCCTCTGTTCTGCACCTTTAATGCTTAGAAGGAAAAACCAAAGTATAATTTAATCATTTCAATCCCCCAGCATCTCCAGACAGGTCTGGGAATGTCCTCTGTCTGAAGCCCTGCCAGTCGGTGTAGACAAAATTGAGCCAGATGGACCAATTCAGTATAAGGCTGCTTCCAATATTTCTAGTAACAGATAACAATGGGTGCCTATTTTTCCATCAGGAATTGTTCCTTGTTCAAACAATGAGTATATGGGGTAAGCAGGCATTGATGCTGATGATAACAGTGCAACTATGAAGGAGCTCAAATCCCCTTGGACTGCAATCCATAGGTGGCCTCCCACCCAGGCAGCTTACAGGGCCAGAACCCATTTGACTTCAGAAATGCACTGTTTGCCTTCAACACATGCTCCTTCCATCTCCAAGCACATTGCCATTGTATGGTGTCAGCTGCTTTGAAATGACCCAAAACCATACAGAATCTTTGGGGAAATTTCTTGAAATTTGGGAGGCTTTGCAGGCATATCTAGATGGTACAATTCTAAACTAAATGTACTGAAGCGGACAAGCTGAATAACATGAATCGAATGTAAAATATAATATGGGGTAGCATAAGTTAATTCAGAAAATGGCTTAAAACAGGCCACTACGTGAAGAATCCTGCCTTTGATTAGGGAGGTGAAGCAGCTGGCTTTTACTGACTTATCATGGAAGCAAACATTGAATGTCTAAGAACATGAAATCTCTCTATGGCATTCTAACTGTGCTTTTTCCATTATCATAAATCCTCCAAGTCAGTGTTGTTCTCCCTGGGGTGCATGGGAGCCATTTGTTGACTTGATGAGTCAACAACAAGAAAATAAGCCTAGGTGCAAGGAAATGGAAGTAGATGCGACTGTGTATTTTCAGCCACCTTTATTATCTGTATTTCAATTTTGGATAATCCCTTCATTTTGTTCCTTCCTACTTGTTGCCTTGTAGCTGATTGATTAGAATGAAAGCCTTAGGAGGCCAGAAAACCACTCTGGGCAACTGCTGTAGCCCTTGGGAAAGGGCAGGCTTGCCATCAAAATTAAAGAGAGATGAACAGCCCTATATTTCTATGCAGACATAGATATTGCCAGGCTCCTTCAAAGTTGATGAGCATTGCCATTCAAATGGTGTGTACACCACATCTTGCGATCAATTATGTGGGGCGGGACTTACCTGCCCCCCCCCAAATGTTTTATTCAGGTTTGCACCCCTGATGTGCAAAGTTTATGCAAATCTGTGCCCCCTTGTCTTTTGGGGTGAATGGAATCTTTTCGGGTGGTGTGAGTAAGCAGAAAAACAATGCTAATATAACTAGAAGACAGAAAAGAGAATTGGGTCTAAGAAGTGTGCTACCATGTCTGAAATCATCAGAGAGCATCTAATATCCATGGCAACTTACCAGTAAAAGTGCTCCTCCACCATTTTTGTAACAGCTCTAGAAACAGCTCTTTCATGCGGGCCAAGATGTTTGTTTAAATTGACTCCAAGCTTCTCTTCCAGAAAATCAATAATGAATTCTGTGCCGGACACTTTTTTGCAATTGTATTCAATCCACGGCATTTTCCCTTGAGGGGAAAGTTTTCCATCAAAGTAGTTCTAAGAAAAGAAGTACCAAAACAAAAACAGGGGGAGAAATCAAACACACATTTAAATAATAATAATAATAACACAACAATCACAACTCAGTAATTCAGACTCTATTGCTAAGTCAACAACAAACCAACAGGTCACAACCAAGCATTATGTCTGCTCCCGAATGAATAGTGAGGTGTATTATCTACCTTTTATGCTTTCATTCTCTGCCCGCAGGAAAATTTGCTGCAGGGGGACTCTCAAGTGTAGCTTGAGCTGAGCAACAGAGAAGGACAACAAGAGCAGACAGGGATGTGTGACTGGGCAGGAGAAATCACAGGTGCCTCATTTCTAGAGTCAGAAACGTGCTTTAAAGGTAAATTTGACACCTCTCTATTCCAAACTCTAATGCGCTCACTAGACCTGTGTAGGTATGCATGCCCATCTCCTGAACCAGCCTACATTTTTTGACATTTCTAGACCAAAACTAGGTAACAGGCAAAATTGCAAAAAGTGAGATAACCCTCAGCTGGATTTTTCAGACTCGGTGTGGGTGCATGTGAAACTCTACCACCAACTTTAATCCCTTGGCAAGTCCAATAAAGACAGATGGCTAGACTGAGGGTGGAAGGATTCAATTGCAACCCATATCTAGCCCTTATTCTTTCAAGTGTTCCAATATGGGTAACCAATTCTTTCTGCATGTCAAACAGCTGCCTTCCCATTCCCATTTGAATATGGCTCACTACAAGAAGGTGGCAGAGGGTTAAAGGCAGGTGAAACAGCAAAGGAAGAACAAGAAAGGCAGGCAACATACAGAGCCCATCAAGTAGTTAATAATGGTGATGACATGATAGATGATCGATAGATAGATAGGTGATAGGCAAGCATAACACCCAGTGATGTTGGGTAGAAAAAATGAAAAATGTTTGGTGGGAATTTTCCAAGATGGATTTTTTTTTTCAAATTATGTTTTTTAAAACAAAAAAACCCCTCTGCTGCTACATTTTTATGTAAATCATTCTCTACTTTTAGAAATCCATTGCTTCACAAATTTAATTAGTAACATAATGAACCAACATAATGCTAGTCAAATTGAGCAATTGGAATGGAGACAAAACAAGTCAAATCTAAAATCAAAGCTGCAATTAACTTCTTCTCATGAGTCGAATCCTAGGAAGCACATTCATGAGCACAGTTCTTCAGGCCTGCTATGTTTTGATTGCCTTCATTTCTCCCACCCCCTTAACATCTAAACAACATAAGCAAAGAGTGTGCAACCGAGTCATATTTATATCTCACCTTCCCTTCCAGCAACACTACATGTTTCTCCTCTCCCTCTCACGATCACATATTTACAAGTACTCAAAAAAAAACCCACCTTTACATGGGAATTATTTTTAACAAATTAACATTTAAACCATACGAAGTGTTTTATTGATCCCCTAATCAAATATAACAATTCTACTTTTCGTTACATGGGAAACAAAGTCAAATAAACCTGCTAAAAGACATCAAATCTGTGGGGGGTAGCAGAAAAAATAAATAAATTTGGGGTTGGGGAATCCAGTTCAAAATGGGCTGTAAAATTCACGTGGCTAATAATAGCAGTCGTTTGTTACAACCCTTTGCCAATATGCCAAAACAATATGGTTTCTATGTTCTTGTCACGTGTAGCAGTGGGAATGACACAAGCCTGGCACATGTGCATGGCACCATTGGGCGGGCAGGTTCCAGCAGGCCGTGCGAGAGAGGGAACCTCTTCTGCACATGTATGGACCTCACCGAGTTAAGACAACAGTCAGCTCCCAATCTACTGAAAGTGCCACAATAATAAAATCTTCTGCCCGAATCTGTTCCTTGACAAAAATAGCGAGGGATGTGAAAAGACAAACTTCAGTATAATTAGGATATACCCAAGACATAATTGCTTTTTAACAGCAGTTGCTTTCCCTTCCACATGGAATTGCAAATGCCAGGTACAAAATGTATTAACACCACCAGGCAGGTGTTCAGGCGGTCCCTAAGCAAATCTGAACAACTCCTTCTATTTCCAGTGTACAGAGGCAAGTGACAGTGCTTACGTAGCCAAAATCGCATCACCCGCTTACAAGAGGGAAGTAGCAGCAGGCTCAGGGGAAACACCCCCCACTTCCAGGTTTTCAGAAGGTGGGGGGAACTAAAGAATGGGGATACAGACATCCTGGAAAGAGCATTCTCAATGATCATGAAATGCTGGGTGTCTTTGACAGAGGCAGAAGGGAATATCTGGGGACAGCATAGCTCTTGGGCACCACAAGATTAAACAGGAGCACTCCACACAGCAAAATTATGTGGCAGATCTGCATGTTTTAAAGCAAACTTAGGGGTAGTAGTTCAGTGGTAGAGAATATGCTGTGCATGTAAAATGTCCCAAGTTCAGTCCCCAGCTATGGCTGGGAAGAATCTCCTGGCTGAAATTCTGGAAAACCACTGCCTGCCAGTGGCAATAATATTGGGCTAGATGAACTAATGGTCTGTCTTGTTCCAATGTTCATCTGCTTCCTAAAAAGGAATATTCTACTCTAGAAATGCTCTTCTGACCTGGTCCCCCTGGGCTGTTCCACTTGTCTTTGTGAAAATTCAATCACATGCATACTGCTCTCTTGGACTTTGGGTTGCTCACTGGATAAGGCAAGGAATGTGTGAGATAGCTACGCAGCCTTACACTCATATGGCTGTTACTTTCTTAGCAAGGGGTAGCGGTCTTCATCTCTGTGAATTTTGGAGGCAGCAAGAACCGTGAAGACTCAGAAAAACACAAAAGTGTGTGTTTGTGTGTTTGTGTGTGTGTGTGTGTAAATGGTAGAGATAGACTGAAATTCGGTGTTAAGCTATGGTTTTTTAAAATCAGAATTGTTATTTTTATGGACATACCTAATATATTTATCTATTTATTAAAATTAACATGTTCAATCAAGTAAATGTCATCTTAATCAGAAGGCAACCCTAAGAATAATTGATTAAAGAAGGAGGCAATCACATGATACAGAACTCTGGCATGACTGCACTACATCATTTGTATACAAGGATCATTTTTTGAAAGCAGTCCCACCCAGAAACCTGTCTACTACACACATGTCAAAGCTTACATGTAAAGAGTTATGTGTTCCCATGTTTAAGCTTTCCACCAAGAGTGCAATATGGGAGAGTTTTCCAACAAGCTGCCTAAAAACTTGCATCATGAGGTGGTACTGTTCTGCAATGACTGTACCACAGGACTCTTTTCTCATTAGAACAGACCAATACACCTATCCTCTAGGCGAGGCATATGGTCCTATAATAGGTGGCATCATGCGCCTGTAAGTAGCCAAAGTAACATAACATGCACAAGTTTACCTGGTAGGGCAAATCAGCCATCCTTAAGTAAGTCTCCATTTTCAAACAGAAAGGAGATAAACTCGGAATACCATTGTTTGGCCTTGAAAACTGATGCAGTATAATAGCATCTTTTGAATCAACCTCTTGCTCTTTCCTATAAGCAAAACAAGCGAGTAAGTTTTACAAAACAGAATCCATCATGCGTCATACAGCATCAATATGGCAAACTTGCAAAGCACAATGCAACTGCTGAGGCAAACTTTCCTTATGTCATTCAATAGGCTGCCACCATTTTGTATTCGTTAAGCTTTAAGTCACTAAGAAGCACTTTGGACTGCAAGGGCAAAATAAGCCAAGTCAAGATGATTCAATATTCAAAATATCTAAAACCTTCCACAGTTAAATTCATATACACACAAATGACCATATTCATAGTTATGATGAAAGCGTTACATGTAGGGATGCCATCTTGTCCAGAAACTGCCTTGATAGCAAACATAAGCCTTGATTTATTATTAGTTCATATCTAATGCTGCTGAGTATTACTTTAAAATCATCAGGACATTATGCTATACTAAAATTAGCATGGTACTTGTAGCACGTTGTAGGAGAAGATACCATATAGCCATGGACCCAAAGTACTTGGCAAAAGCCTTTGAAGTTAGAATGTTGAGAAGTCCCTTTTTTTTCTTTTGAAGCAAGCTTATAGTCCTCATGGTGAGATAAATACTCTTTCTCTCCACCCCACCTTCCTTATTTCAAATAAACTCAGTCAAGTCAATCCAACGATCAACTTAATTTTTTCTATGCCTGTGAGGAACCATTTCAGAATAAATATAACCAGGCTTGTGTATATTCTGATATCCCAATGTTAGCAAGCAGGACATTTAGTATTGACCAAGGAAGTTAACATCCTGAGAATATCAGTTTACTTCTATATTAAAAGCAAGGTTCAATCCACTAAGATTGCTGAAACAGATTTAGTTAAAAGTCCCAGAACCCTAGGGTGCAAATATTTACAAAGGTATTTCTTACATAAGGATGGCATACATGGTTCTTCCTCAATCAATTTTACTCTCACAACACCCTATGAATCAGCCTAGCGGCTGAGAGATAGTGACTGGCCCTGTATCTTCTAGTAAACTTTATAGCTGAGTAAGGATTCGAACCTGGGTTTCCCTGGTCCTAGTCTGACAATCTCAGCACTACACCATTCTGGCTCTTCAATGTGATCTGTTGCCTCCACCTTTGCCTTCATCCCCTATCCTAGTCCCAGGAGCATCAGCAAGAGCAGGATTCCTAGAGTGATTGCTTTAGGGTGGTGCCACCTTGTCCAATATGGCGCCATTGTCCAATATGGTGCCACCTTAGAAACCACTCTAGGAAACAGGTGTGCAATGCACACGTCCACCCACTCACACAGCCCCCAGGCTTAATGGTGCATGAGGTCCACTGCCTGAAAGCGGTGTCCAGAAAAGTAGTTCTGTCAACATAAGGATTTCCATTTGTGCAATTGATCTTCCCCTCCTTCTCATTGCCCTGCATGCCCACACAAATCTGCTCCAAAGGGGTGGGGGAGGAACCAGAGCAAAAAGGAAGAACACAGGAAGAGGAAGTTCCATTCAGCAAACGGAAATCCTTGTGCTAATGGAACTAATTTCTTCAATGCTGCCCCAAGTCTGCCACATGGCAGGGCTACTTAAGACACTGGCAGAGGGCAGGGGAAGTAGTGGCCAAGATAATGTGGCCCCAGTGACTTGCACAGCTCTTTGCCTGTCCTACAAGTGAACAGAAGTTATGCAGGTATATGCAAGTGTACTTAGTAAGTAAAATGCATACAGACAAAGTTCCTGTATGTGGCTATTTTGAATTTTAAAATAAATAAAACACATGGAGCCCTGAATATAATGTACAACACCCACCCACTTTGGTTGGGTAACTGCCACATGCATTAAAATGATACGAAAACCTTGTTAATTCATGAAAACTAAAACATGCAGATCAGCAAATCCTTTGTTTTCATAGATTATTTCCCTCAGTGGTTCTAATCAGATTTCCACATTCTATAATCCCATTGATTTTAATGAAATGGGATACACATAAAACTTGTGGATAAATAAAAGCTGGGTAACCCAAAAGGAATTCTGGTTATAGGGGGCTTCAGTTCCTATGAAGCACCCTGTATGAAGAGATTGATAGAATTAAACTCTTACTATGAGCCTTTGTCCCACACAACTCAAAATGTGCTAGTCCTATGACAACAACAATATTTATTATTGTGCTTCTCCTAATCTCTTACAGGTTTTCATATACTTTACCGAAGTCAACCTGACAGTAGCTCTGTGAAGAAACTTCACAGTTAAGGTAAAGTCCAAATACAATAATATTGTTATGATATGCATACTGTTTGGATGAAAATTGTCCACTGCATCAATTGGGGCAGGATGAGAGGAGAGGAAAGAATCTGGCCTCCGGCTCCTGTCCAGAGAGCCAGGAAAAACACAAAGTGCTTGGGTTCAGCCGGCAGTCTGTTAAGAAATGGTTAGGCCAATAACAGTTTCAAAATATTGTGTTTTTTTGTTACATACTTGCAAGGCTTCAGTTAACAAAAGAATATTGTTGTTTTATGGGTCAGGAGAATTGAAAAGGGTCAGATTGTCATAGGTTCTTTAGCAGACAATCTATTCAGAGATCATTCGTCCTCACATTTATAGGCTAATGGGGATTCAGAAGTGCAGAGAGAACTCTGATGATTTCTCAGAGGATTCTGGCAGGAGTGGAGGAAGGGAACAGAAGCAGGGAAAGGAAAAAGGGAAAGGAAGGACTGCCCTGTATGGAGCCAATCATGAGAGAACAGTTGGTCAGAGAGTGAAGAGGCCTTTCTAAAGAGGCAGAAGGTTAGCAGAGAATCACTAAAGGCAGACAGAGAGGGAAGGCAGTGTGGGGGCATTCCAGTTCTCCAGAATAATTACTGGCCAAAGTGACAGCAGCTGACACTCAGCTGCAGGAATACTTCAGGAGGTAACTGACATCATTGTGCATGAGCCCTGGCCATTGAGTAGCTGACCAGAAGGAAGACTTGAGATGAGAGCTGCAGCAAATCTATCGGAGGGGCAGCCATAGTTGCAAGAGGTGGAGTCTAGTGTGAGTAACAGCTAAGAGGCTATTTTACAATCCTGTATATATTTTCAGTGAGACCCTGACCACAGAGAAGACTTGCAACTGAAGCCCATGAGTTAACCAGGGAAGGAGAAAGGGAGAACTGGCTATTGGTTTTGCACAGTGATGAGAACAAGGGAATATTGAGCAACAATAACAACTTTACAGAAACAATTTGTAAGGTGACTAAAAGTAACCACCTATTTAACAACACTTGTTGGCTTAAATAACCTACCTCAATGTAGATCTATATTAAATAAGTTTTAATATACTAATGCAAGCCTTCTGGTCTGTTCATCCCATGCCTATATTCAGTTATTGAAGACAGTAAAAGTAGGTGAAAGGATCAAATTGGAATTAAAGGGTTATAAAATCTAGGTACTGTACAGTGGTACCTTGGGTTAAGAACTTAATTCATTCTGGAGTCCGTTCTTAACCTGAAACTGTTCTTAACCTGAGGTACCACTTTAGCTAATGGGGCCTCCTGCTGCTGCCACGCTGCTACTGTGCAATTTCTGTTCTCATCCTGAAGCAAAGTTCTTAGCCCAAGGTACTATTTCTGGGTTAGCAGAGTCTGTAACCTGAAGCGTCTGTAACTCAAGGTACAACTGTACATCTTATTTAAACTGTATGATGTGGGGATCCTATTTATTTTTATTTTATTAAGATTTATAAGTCACCCATCATCAAAGATATCAGGGAGGTGAACAAATATAACCAAAAAAACCATTAAAAGAACAGTGAAAATAAAACGTAGCTACAAGGCAGTAAGGATACATAGGACTAAGTGGCAATGTCCTTCCCTTGTGTAGCACAAAGGCAGACCTTCATGAACTAGGAGACCTTATCAAAGCTACAGTAAACCTTCCACTTGCTGTCAGGCATCAGTTTGGTACCCAGTGACTTCACCATGAACTCTGGCCCCAGAGGTTCACCTGCAAATATACTTACCACTAGATGCATGACACACAACTGTTCATCACTATGTGTGTCTATCCCAAGTATCTCCCACCCAGCACTTTTAGAAAATTCCATTCCAACAGGTTGAGCTCTTAATGCAATGTCCGGATATCAAAATTTCCCATAGACAAAGTCCAGTCTAGCTTCAGCTGCAGAAAGTATCATTGTACTAATGCCAGGGAACAGATATTGGCCTTAAGGCTGTGCTGTTTATTGCAGTAAATTTAGTTACAAAGAATGCAAAATTGATTAGAGTGAAACAAGAATGCCCTCTGGCTCTTTTTTCTTCCCATTCACCCTTCTCCTGATTGATACCTGTGTCTTATCTGTGGCAAGCTCAACATCCTCTGAGATGGGGTGGGGAGTGTCTACACTGGACTCTGAAGCAGTTTCCCTCATCCTTGGAATAAGGAAGAAATCTCACTCCACACGCCTTCCTCAGTCCTTTTGAGCTTCCACCAGCTCCTGCTACAAAAAGAATTGCTGAGTGTCTTTAACCGCAGTTGGTTAGAGACCATGGTGCTGATAACTCCAAGGTTGCAGGTTCAGTCCCCATACAGCACAGCTGCATATTCCTGCACTGTAGCGGGTTGGCCTAGATCAGGGGTGTCCAACTTCTGAGAGACTGCAATCTACTCCCACTAAAAAAACTGGCAGTGATCTACGCATTGTATTTACCAGAGCTGTTTAACTTTTTTTAGGGAATCAAAGTTGTTGTTTTTAGGGAGACAAAGTTATCTCTCCCCTTGCTTAGTAACCAGAAGAAACCTAAAGGGCACAATCCCTTATCAGGTACTTTCACTTGTGCGTAGAGTGACACTCTGCTCTCATCTCTACTGCAACAGATAGGTGATGTTGGCCTTGCTTGGTGTCAAAGAGCTAAATGAGTGCATAAATTACTACAGTGCTCCATTTCCTGATTGCAACCACAGCAAAATCTCTAATGATTTTCTGGAGCACTGACTAACCAGTGTTACAAGAGTCTTCTCCTCTGATGACTCAGGCCAGCACAAACAGCAATTCAGGATAAATCCACCTAATTCATTTTACAAGCTTACTCAAAATTGTAGAATAAAGGTATGCATTTCCATCTTTCATTGTTCTTGTTTCTCTCGTGGCAATTTGCAACAGTTCTCAGATGTCTCAGATATCAATCTGTTTACTCCTGTTTTTGGTTGCAATAAATCTGTCCCAATAATCTCTGGATGTTGCCTCCATCACCACCACTCCATACTTATCATCTAGATCTATAGGAGAAATAGTTTGCCAGGTGCTGTCCCAAGACAGCCAGGACTCATGCTACAGTTATTTAATATAGTTTACAAGAATAATAAAGACCAACTACGGCACCAGTTGTTAATTTCAGGTTCTGGCCTATGACAATCACAGCTGCATAATTTATCTAAACATTGATGGTCTCTCATTTTAAGCTGTTTGTGGCATTTACAGCAAGCTATACTACAGTGCAAAAAGACCATTGCAAATAGATGGAGATGGTATCATTTTGAAGTAGGAGGCACATCTATATTGACTTTTATGTCAACAAACCCTCGTGTCTGAAGGTAAGGGAGTGTAAGAAAGGTGCTTCGCAGATCTGGGACAGCTTTGGAGGGTTTGGGGTACAATTCAGCAACTGTGGGAGAATGTAAACATGTCTCAGATGAGAAACACTAACTGATTCTCCAATTGCAAAAGAGAGAGGGGTTTGTGGAGGATGTGGTGACTTATTTATGGCAGTGGGACTAGCAGGAAGTTTTTTGGGTCTGGGTTCATCCCACCATTACCACCTCCTAATACCTTCCCCAAAGAAGTAGCATTGCCAGAAAGTTAGAGGCTGACCAGATATTTAGTGGAACTGCTATGTTTGGGTGGAACTTGAAGACTTAGAGCAATGAGGAACTACAGGCCTGGGAGCCAAATGTAGCCCCTCAGGCTTCCCTGTCTGGCCCTTGGGCCTTTCCCCAGTCCTACTTCATATCTCTCTTGAGTGTCTTTTCCTGGCTGAAATGTTTTGTGGAACTCCCATAATGCCCCTTGGTTGCCTGGAAACTAGCCTAGTGTATCAATGTGAAATTTACATTTGCTTCTTCAATCACTTTTGCCTCTGACCCCTCCGACAACACACTCATCATTTAGAGTTTAAAATGTGAAACACTAGTGAAGGACAGGGAACGGACAGCTGTGTGCCATGGAAAAATCCCACAGTAAGCAGTTTTGTAAGGGAGACGTATTATGACTCAAAATGATAACAGAAGCAGAGATAACAGAAGGTGCATCCCAACTGAATGGAGTTGCTATCCAATACATGAAAATGAGGTAACGGAAGTTTACGCTCTGATTCTCCCCCTCTCCCTGTTTTCTACACCCATTTCTGTAATATTTGGTGCTCATATCATATGCTTTGCAGCATAAACACATACCTATAATAGGGTAGAGAGGACCATATAAACCAATGCCACAACCCACCAGGAAGTCTCCAGTGCAAGCCCTATTTGTCAGAAGGCTGACCATGGGGACTACTATTCTGTATGCCCAACCAGTATTATTTGGCTGTGTGTCAAGTACTCCATAATAACCACATTGCAAGAAACCCAAAACAAACCACACCCCTACGAAGTGTCCACATCAACTGCTAGCATTTAAGACCTGTGCATATATTAATATTGGGATATTATTTTTCCATGGCCCCTAACCTTAAAACATAGTTGGCATGGCCTGATCAGCTTGAAGCGTATTATAAAACTCACCTTTATTCATGGGGGGGGGCATGAAAACCTGTCTGCAAATCGCACCTGGAAGCCCCCCACCCTTCAGCTGCATTTACTCAGTGCCATAAAAACACTCTACATATGCTCAGAGGCCCATGACAAGCGTTTCACGGGAGCACTGGCACTGAAAACAGGTTCCGGGGTTGATGGACCTTGGGCTCAGACTTGGGCCTGCAGTTGTGATGGTCCACATTGAAACAAAGGAGGTGCAGCTTCTCTTTCTGCGGGTATCCTGGAACCCATTTGATCGATGCATGATGGCTGATCACAACCCGTCCCTTCCCCCACCCAGCAAGGAATCCCCCACCCTAGGAAAACAACCCTCCTCCCTAGGGGTGCCCTTGCTGCGCGCTATTTTGCACCTCTTAGCTCTCCATCTCTCTACCCCAAAGACACCCCCCCGAAGGTGCCCCCCTCTCACCTGATGGCCAGGAGCTCGTGGAGCAGGTAGGCGGCGGCGGCGAGCAAGGCTCCCCCGGTCAGATAGAGGGTTTTCTTCCACCACGAATCGGACCCCAGCCCGGCCATGACCCCGCCGTAATCCTGCAGAGGGAAAGCGATGATCTCCCCATAAAAGGAGAAGCGCTCTTCGGAGCCCGCGCACCAGAGGCTCTGGTTCCGGCTGAGATCCACCACGCACGACCTGGACGAGGCGAAGCCAACCCCCCAGGGCATGCTGCGCGGCGAGGGCGTCGCTGGATCCCGGTTCCCCCAACGAGCACGGGCGCAGCCAGGGCCGGCGTCTGCATCGGGGGGAGAAGCAGGCGGCGAGCCGGAGGCTTAGTTAGAGGCGGAGGAGGAAGAGGAAAAGGAAAAGGAAAGCGAGAGCAGCGTGAGCAGCAGCCACGCCGGGTCTCCTTGGCCAGCTCTGCAACATCATCCTCACCGTCCTCCTGCAGCTGCTTCTCGCCTTTGTGCCTTTGCATGCAGGAGGGGTGATGTCATGGCTCTCCTGCCTTGGGAAAAAACAAACAAACAAATAAATAAACCTCAGGATCGATTCATCTACCCTGAAACATCCCCCCCCCTCCCCGCGATCCAGGCGCACCCACCCAAGCCTGCCTCCCACGGTGGCGTCGGCTGGAGGGAGGACGAGGAAGGTCGCGGCGGCAATAGGGCAGGTCTGCCCAGAGCTCTGGGACAAACAGGGCGGGGATCGATGCGGGATTGATGGCTGGTTTGGAGGGAGAAAGCGCGCCCCGGTCTGCTTCATTGGCTCATCATCATGGTGCTGTCCTTCCTTCCCTGCAGCTTTCACAACATTAGACCGGACCGTGTCACGTGGGTGGCGTTCAGGTGTGTGTGTGGTGGGGCGAGGGGGGGGGACGCAGCATCCTAACAAATAAAAGCATGCGTTCTCGTTGGTAAACAAAACCCCTGCTTTTTAGAAGATGCGGGTTTTTATTTATTTTAATTATTAGTTTTCCTTCCATGTTTGGCCAGGAGGACGAACGGTGTGATCCTATTCATGTTTACTTAGAAGCAAGTCTCACTCTAGATTCAATAGGGCTAGCTCTCAGATAAGCGTCCAGACAAAAGATTTGCCGCCTAGCTCCTCTTGGCCCTCAGAACCATGGTTGCTTCATCACCATACCCCTGGCCCAGAAGTCAGCAACCAGTTTGGGCAAAGGACCGTTGTTGCTTTTTTATAATGGGATGGGTCTCTGATGGACCCCATTGCCACTTACTCAAATGGCATTGATGCAAAGGCCTACTGGCATGGATTGGCATGGACTGCTCTTCCAAACCCCTCTTGGGAGGGGAAGGGTGACTAGTTGCTGAATCCTATCATAGGGAACTGCTAATTTCCCCACCCATGTTACCAGAGATGCCTCTGCAGATGGAAAAAAACTGTTCACAATCCTCCCAATTTAGGGTGGCAAGTGTGAGGTTATCCTTACAAGCCTAAGAAACAGTCTAGAGCAGATCTAAATGCCAAGGCCATTTAGCAAACTTCCATTTGTCTTCCTGTTATTGTTTCCATTACTGTCCCTTGAAATCTACTTCTTCCTGTATTTATAAAAGTAATTTTTCTTTCTTTAGACATTTTCTTTCTTTCTGCAGAGATTCTACTGACCAAGGACAACTTGTCCTTTTTCTATTATGAAGTGCATCTTCTTTTCCAATTAGCTTCTGGCTTACCGCTTTAAAGATGACTTCCATCATACATATTTAAGAATCCATCAGTAGAGTGATCTTGATGTCAATAATTGGAAAGGGGAAGCCTTGTGGTTATGGGAATGTTGTTGCGCAACCAGGCAGACAAACATTAACAAATCAATGAACATTTCAAAAATTGTGCATTTACTTGTATCTAACAGGACATGAATGATTATTACTTCACAATTGTACACTGTGGGAATGGGAGTGAAATGCTTCCTCTCTCTCCCCATCCCCCCCAATTAGCCCACAATTGGAAAGCCAGAACAGAGACCTGGGTTCAGAACCACATTCTGCATCAAGTTTGCTAGGTGACCTTGAAATAATGATTATCTAAGAGTGTAGGCAGTGGTGAAGCTGCATGCTCCGCTACCAGGGGTGGAGAGCAGGTGGGGGTGTGGCTGGCGCCCCCCCGGGGGGGCATGACGTGCACCTGTGTGGGCGTGGCATCTGGTGCGTGGGGGGGTGCGTGGCACGTGTCTGGGGGGCCATCGCGATGGCACCCTACTGGAATAGTGGTGCCAGGGGCGATCCGCTCCCTCCACACTCTGGTTCTTCCACCAGTGAGTGTAGGTTACTGGGAAGATGGGAGTATAGAGTCAGTTATGCCACCTGATCTCCTTAAAAGGGAAAGGAGTATATGTAATACAGTGGTACCTCTGAATGCGAACAGGATCTGTTCCGGAGCCCCGTTCACATCCTGAAGCGAACGCAACCCGCGTCTGCGCGTGTTGTGATTCACCGCTTCTGCGCATGACGTCATCTTGAGTGTCTGCGCATGCACGAATGGCGAAATCCGGAAGTAACGCGCTCCATTATTTCCGGGTCGCCACGGAGCACAACCCGAAAATGCTCAACTCGAAGCTACTTCAACCCGAGGTATGACTATACAACTATTTCTATTGCATGTACTTTGGCTTAGTTAAGATACTGGGGATAGCTCCAAAGGTTTTCCAGAAAAGGTGGATCACATACAGTGGTACCTCAGGTTAAGAACTTAATTCATTCTGGAGGTCTGTTCTTAACCTGAAACTGTTCTTAACCCGAGGTACCACTTTAGCTAATGGGGCCTCCCGCTGCTGCCGCGCCGCCACCACATGATTCCTGTTCTCATCCTGAAGCAAAGTTCTTAACCCAAGGTACTATTTCTGGGTTAGCGGAGTCTGTAACCTGAAGCGTCTGTAACCCGAGGTACCACTGTAGTTTAGCTCAGAAAACAGGGATCTCGTTTCAATCCCTTTGTGTACTAAATCTATGGAAAATATACGGAGTATACTTAATATAGACACTATACCTTTAGTGATACCCAGACAATTTGCCATTCACATTTCAGATGAGTTGGTATATTAATTTTGTGCTAATTAGTAGTAATAAACCTCACTGGCTTTTTGTCATGGAATACAATAGTAGATTATTGTTTGTTAACAGGATGCAACAGATGGAGTTGAACATTTCCTGAATTTGATAGCTATATGGCCACTATAGAGATATTCTAGCAGAAGGTTAGACTTAATGGGGCAGTGGTTTTTACACCTTATAATCTCCTACCATAGAAGTCAAGACTTCAAACCTCTAGCTACTTAACTGGAAGCAAACCCCATTAAACTGAATAGCGCCTGCTTCGGAATCGTCATATAGAGCCAGGGCTAGATTTCTCTCAGTAGGAATGTGACAATTTTGTGCAATCCAAAATATCTTGCTAGAATTCTTGTTTTCCCACAATCCTTACTGTCACAGTAGTGACTGAAAGGCATAGAGTTCCTCAAATAAAAAAAGCCCTCATGAATGGTTTCAACTTCTACAAGTGTTAAAATCTGTGTTCTTTCCATAGTTCTATTTTTATTTATGTGGTTCCTTAAGACTTATTTTCCCATTTATCTGATAAAAAGCAAGAGCTACACAAGATTGTATCTGCCCCTATTCAACCCACTGCTGACAGCACAGCCCTTTGCTATCAACAGTGAGCGAGTAGTGGCAGATACACTCTCCTGCAATTCTTGCCTTAATTGTTTCTAGGGTGCAAGACTATAAGGTAGGACCAGCTTTGTTCTCCCGAAGCCTGGATCAAAGAGATATAAAAGCTGCTACAAATACAGCAACAGGAAGTTAATAAAGCATGAACTGTGAACTGAACTGTGAACTGTGGCTGGGCACCACAGTTCAAGAAGGACACTGACAAACTGGAACGTGTCCAGAGGAGGGCAACCAAAATGGTCAAAGGCCTGGAAACGATGCCTTATGAGGAACGGCTAAGGGAGCTGGGCATGTTTAGCCTGGAGAAGAGGAGGTTAAGGGGTGATATGATAGCCATGTTCAAATATATAAAAGGATGTCATATAGAGGAGGGAGAAAGGTTGTTTTCTGCTGCTCCAGAGAAGCGGACACGGAGCAATGGATCCAAACTACAAGAAAGAAGATTCCACCTAAACATTAGGAAGAACTTCCTGACAGTAAGAGCTGTTCGACAGTGGAATTTGCTGCCAAGGAGTGTGGTGGAGTCTCCTTCTTTGGAGGTCTTTAAGCAGAGGCTTGACAACCATATGTCAGGAGTGCTCTGATGGTGTTTCCTGCTTGGCAGGGGGTTGGACTCGATGGCCCTTGTGGTCTATTCCAACTCTATGATTCTATGATTCTATTCTATGATTTGTTACACAAATAGCATAAAGCCATGGTTCCATGTTACTACCAACAAAAACAGCTGCTGGTGAGAAACATCCTTTAAGTACCCGACCTCAGCTATTTCTCCACGGACAACAAATAATGCTGCAAGAGTCTCCATTCATTGCAAAGCAAAGCAGTAATTTGGGGAGGTTTCCTAGAATTATCCCATCTTTTACTTTTACAAAAATAAACCTGCAACACAATTTTGCCTTGCAAAATTCTATTGAGAAGGGCCTACATTTTTATTGCTAGAGATGGAATGTGTCTGTTCCTCTGATTAGGCACCAATGGTGCTATTGCAACCAACCTCACATGAAATATTGATTGTAATATTTAATGGAATTATTCTTCATCGTTTCTAAGGGTGGTAAAAGCTATTTTAGCAAAAAGCTTTTGTGGCTTGGTACTGACAATCTTGCTGGTGCAGTTCAGATTTTAGAATTTAGCATAAGATGGAATAAGTCTTAGCTACTGCCATTTTTTGGTTGGGCAGTGTTCTCAAAGCTACTGTACTAACATGAGTTTGACCAAACTGCAGGAGGCAGTGGAAGACAGGAGTGCCTGGCGTGCTCTGGTCCGTGGGGTCACAAAGAGTCCAACACGACTAAACAACAACAAATTGCCATTTTTAAAGACCAGTTTATTTCTAGGCATTACCTTCATGAAGGAAGGGACCAGATTTACACTATACCCCCACCCCAGAGTTTGTGATATGTTTTCTAAGCACATTTTCCAATCCAAGCTTCTTTAAGTCAGGTGACTTCAATATCTAGTAGAGTACAGCTTACCCTACCATTTCCTTAGATCACTGGACAAGGCTTAATTTCCAGTCTGGATACCATACCAAGGTCCCTTGGAGTCTAGTGTTCAGAATGTGCCAAGGCACAGTTCAAGTGACAAAAACATTCTAGCGTCTGTCCCTACAGCTATGGAGAATGCATGGCTGTATTTTGCCACAAGCACATGTATTTCCAACATGATAGTCACATGATGATGTCCCCATTTCCTAGCCATGCATTTCCACATAGGAACAGTGCATTAAGCAACACTCTGCTCACCCACATATTGAACAGCAACTCTTAACAAGTCAAGAAATAGTCCTCGCATTGATTTAAGTCTTGGTTCCATTGCATGTACCCATAACAGCATACCTGAAGATTAACAGGCAAGCAAGAAATAAGTAGGGGTTTATTTCTTAGACAAGCTGCTGAATTAGGATAATAAAAGCAATTCAGCTGTTTTACAAATACAAAATGTAGCATTTTAAACCAGTAACTCTAAAGTCTATGAAAATAATTATTCTCTGGAATTTTAGAGGCATGCATTTTAAGAACTCTTTCACAAAGAACTGCCCCTTTCCCAATAACTTGCACAGAACACCTAATCTGTAGGTATACATACAATTGACTCATTATTTAACATAACTCATCTCTGAGAGCTTTGTAGATCTGATACTGTGGAGA